TACAGAGATGCTGTGTAGTTGTAATAGTCTGTTGGTTGTTTCTGAAACGTTTCTGAAGTATGGCAGTGTGATCCTTTTCATAGCTTGTGTTGGTTGTGTTGTAATAGGCTTGAGTGGTCAGGTACTTTTTGATAAAGTTGTGTGGATATCCACTTTGTTGGAAGATGTATAGGTGGTCTGTTTCCTTTTTCTGCTGTTCTGGGTTGCTGCAGTGCATTTGTGCTCATTTTAATAATGTTCTTACACAGCTCCTCTTGTGGGAGGTTGGGTTGTTACTTGGGTAGTGGAGTACTTGATTAATGTGGGTTGTCTTCTGATAGACTTGGGTTTCTAATTTGCTGTTGTTTCCTTTGCTGATGAGGATATCCAGGAAGAGTAGCATGTTGTTGTTTTCTTCCTCTCTGGTGAATATTATTCCTTTGAAGATGTTGTTGATAGTTTCATGTGTTTTCTCTAGTTGTTCTTTTTTTTATTATAACAAAGGTGTCATCTACATACTGTATCCATACTTGAGGTTGTATGCGTGGAAGTGCTAGTTTCTAGTCCTGACAGTGGTGATCCCATGGACATCACCAGATGGATTACTCAGAAATAAAACTGGCTATATTAGTAGCACAAGGAGGTGGAACAGCTCAATTATAAACAACAAAAACATATGCAGGGGCTGACAGTGGAACAATGAACTGTTCATGTGCAAGTTCTAAGCCAAGCTAAAGCAGAAGAACAAAACCAGTCAGTTTCTACAATGTGATCTTGAACATATATCCACCATTTTCAAGGAGAACACCAGGAATCACTTCGAAGTCCAGAACTTCATTGATAGGGAACCAGAGGAACTATGGAATTATTAAGGATAAAAATGAAAAGAGAGTACTGAGGACTAAGAAACAAAAGAAAGTAAAGAGGATGTCAGAACAAATGGTGGAAATTGCCAAGAAGAGAAGGAAAGTTAAAATCAAAGAGGACAAGGAACTCAGGAAGGAATTTAACAAAGATTTTCAGAGAGCCATTAGAAGAGACAAGAAGTAGTATTACAATGACATCTGTAAAAACACTGAAGGTAGAAACAGACAAAGAAAGTCTTGACAAAGATCTTTGAACACAGAAGGAGCTTTCAACTTCAAAATGGTATGTTAAAGAATGCCAATAAGCACATAATAAGTTATTCAAAGAAGATCAAAGAAGTATGTGCTTAGAATACATTCCCTACTTCCAAGAATGTCTAATACTAGAAAATGAAGTTAGATCAGCACTCCATTTATTACCAAGTTGGAAGACTCAGGAATTAGTTAGACTAATTAGCCAGGTAGTTCAGACTAGGAATCAACTCCATGGGTAGGCTAAAACTACTTTTATTAAAAGTGGCTTTAACAACAGGATTGACAAGTTTGATTGTCCTGTACCTCCTCCCCCCTTCTTATACTCATGTGAATTTGGGAGGTGCCTATATGAGCCTCTTCCACATATTTTCTGTTTGTTCTGGACTTAAGATATATGCTTCCCTTCGTCACTTTGGTAACAGATCTCACCTATCTCCATCAAGATCATCTTCCTTACTCTCTACAGGAACTAATGGAATGGTCACAGAAGTATGGCAAACAACAGAATAAGTAAAGGTTGTAGCCAAACTATCCTAGTAAACCTGAAGAATGATAGAGTGACCAGTTGGTTGGAAGAGATTAGTCTACATGCCAATCCCAAAGAAAGATTAAATAGTGCGTGCAAACTATTACATAATCTTTAATTTCACATGCTAGCAAAATAATGCTTAGATTAGAGCCCTGCATGAAAAGGGAGATGCCAGATGTTCAAGCTGGTTTTACAAGAGGTCAAAGAATAAGATACATTATTGCTGAGGCATTCTGGGTAATTGAGAAAATTAAAGAATAGCAAAAAGAAGTCAATAAGTGCTTCATTAATTATACAGTGGAGAGCCAGTTTGGTGTAATGGTTAAGGCACCATGTTAAAAACCGGGAGATTGTGAATTCTAGTCTTGTCTTAGGTACAAAGCCAGCTAGGTGACCACTCTCTCTCAGCCCTAGGAAGCAGGCAATGGCAAACCACTTCTGAAATCTCGCCAAGAAAACTTCAGGGACTTGTCCAGGGAGTTGGCAGGAGTCAACAGAGACTCAAAGGCACCAAAAAAAAAAAGGCCTTTGTGTTGTGCTATGTCAAGCTGTAGAATGTCTTTAGGAAAATTGGAATCCCAGAACATCTCACTGTCCTCATGAGAAATTTATAAACAAGACAGGAAACCAGAGTGTGGACAAAACATGGTAAAATGAGCTGGCTCCTGGTCAGCGAAGGAGTGAGACAAGTTTGTATATTCCTTCCTTATTTAGTCAGTCTGTATTGCTGAACATATATATGTATATGTGTGTGTGTGTGTGTGTGTGTGTGTGTGTGTGTGTATTGAGGTAGGCTGAATTAGAAGGTGATGAGCATGGTTTTAAAATTGGAGGCAGAAACACTAATAATCTGTGCTGTGCTAATGACACTACTCTGATAGCTGAAAATGTAAATGATCTGGAAGTTCTAGTACTCAAGGAGCATAAAAAATGGGACTCAGACAAAATATAAAGAAGACAAACTAATGACAACAGGTAGAGCAACCAGCCTTAGAACTGACGATGATATTGAAGTGGTGAATAGCTTCTGCCTTTTAGGATTAATTATCAACAATAAAGGAACCAGCAATCAAGAAATATGCTGCAGCCTAGACTATTTAAGGCCTTAAAAAAGCTATTCAGATGCTATGCCATGTCTTTATCTACAAAGATCGGAATTGTGCAGGCAATGGTTTTCCCTGAAATACTTTATGGAAGAAAAAGTTGGACTTTGAAGTGGATCATAAAACAAATGAAGTCAGAGTTCTCACACAAATGATCAGACTTAAATTATCACATTTTAGACACATGTGAAGACCTATGTCTTTTGAAAGTTCTACAAAGATGGGAAAGATGGAAGGAAAGAGGATAACCAGTAATAGGATGAATGGACTTGATTGCAGCAATGACTGGCACACCGCCAGAAGACCTGAAAGATCAGGTTAGGGACAGGTCATCCTGGAGACTTCTCTATGTAGTTGCTAAAAAGTCAACACCAAATCAATGACACGTAATTGATCAATCAATCAAATAAACAGATGAGGAAATGTCATGGTTGCCTGGTAGGGAATGATCAGGCTCTTCCCATGTGGTGTTTCCTGAATGTGTCCAAGCCAAATGATTATTCACAATCTCAGGATTTTCTAAATTAAAGCAAAATGCAAATAATTGCACTGGATCTTATCTAATGAAGCCTAAGGTAACTTTACTTATTCAATAGTTCAGGAAACAAACTAAAGATTGAGGAAAGAAAGCAAATGGGTACTCAAGATTTTCTGTATAGGAGGCTGCCAAGAACAGAAATCTATGAGTTGGGTAACAAGATAAATAATGTATGTGCTAAACCTCTATAAAACACATGACATAACCTTCTCTTCACTTGAAGAATTCCAAATTACAGTGAAAAAAAAATTGGAGTAAAAATAATTAGAATCAACTAAAATATCACTAAGTAAGCTTTTAAATTCTGTAGAACCCTTCATCAGATCAGATTGTAAGTAAAATTAGAGGTAGAAAGCAGGGAAAGGAGCAAAAAAATGTAATTTATCCATTCCCTAGGAACTTGAGATAGCTATTGCTAACCAGATGTAGGTAGAAAGATCCAGTGATTTGTTATCATGCAAAAGGGTGTGTTGTTAAGGAGGTGGGTAACAAAACTGAAAAGAGGAAGTGAGAGGTAACATACATCATTTTGTAGCAAGAATTACCTTCAGTTCTTTCCCACAGGCTAAGTATTCTATTTATGAAGTTTGCTAATATGATTTCCTAACTGGTTTAAAAGGCTGCAACAAGTCAAATCATGTTTTAAGTGAAAAGCTACATTCATTCTCCTTTTCAATAAATATTCTTATTTATCTGAGCATCTGCCAGATTTAGTTGAAGAGTCTAGCCAAGCCAACCTGCAAAGGGCCAGAAAATGTACTCCTGGTTGGGCAAATTCTCTAGAAAGTACATTTCTCCAGAACTTTGATGAAAAAAGACATTTGAAATTCATGATTTAGTCTGTTGCTATATCATCTACTATCCAACACTTTCCCTACCCAAGTTAACTAACATTGCCTAAGGGATAATGTTGGGGTCTCCCAGCCTGGCTGCTCAGGAGAAATTTGATCTTTACAGAACTGTCAGAATGGCTCAAAAATTCATGACTTGTCACTGCAAAAATGTCAAATGTTATATAATCACCAAGGATTTGTTTTTACTTTTACTTCTGCCAGATGATATGAATCAGGGGGTGAGAGGAATTTAATATAATTCCACTACCATGGGCACAGCTGGTTAAGTTTAGGCTGTGATTCCTGCCCTACCCCTTCTACTTTCTCAAATTAGAAAAGTTCTGCCCCCAGAAGAATCCAAATGATTTTGTCATGGCTCAGAGATTTTCATGTCACACATGCTGGTAACCCTACAGAAATCCTGATACTCAGAATGGAGAAATGATACAATTGCTTCTGAATATCCTCTCCTTGGACAAAGATAATTCCTCAGTAGCCAAAGACCTGCAGCAATGAAAAAGTAGAGATTAATGGAAAAGTGGTGGAAGAATCAATCAAGAAAAAAAATTAAGCCTAGGCAAGTGTTCTTCCTTTCTACCTACACTGCATCTTATTCAAATTCGCCACTGGAGTCAGAAGTCTTTTACATCTTGACAAGGTTAAGGGGAGGACTTACAAGATAAAGTGACCAACTTCTATGATGTTTTGCAAATAAAACCATTCATGCCCATTCTGGCTTAGACGCTAGAATTAAAACAGTATCAGTAGAAATATTTTCAGCTTTATCAAAATCAATTGGATACTTTATTCAAAGAAATATGCAAGGTGTCTGACAGTGGCCTTCAACACAGAATTTCCTTAACAAATTAAATTAACGGTATAAAATCTGCAATGCTGAAGCTGTAATGAAACATACAATATAAAGACAACAAAACAAATGGCAAATTAAGTATATGCAACATACCTTTAAATGAACACATTTAAAATAGTAAAGTAAAAGTATTTGCCCAGCACTGGAAGAAGCAGGGATGATTTGGATCCAAAGTGGGGAAGATGCTCTGGAGATCGTGTAGGTGAGCTCACTGGACCTCTCAGTGACTCATATGCAGTACTGTGATCTCAAAACTGAATTACTGCAACGTGCTGTTCGGGGGTTAGCCCTTGAAGAGGAAATTGTAGCTGGCCGAGAACGTGGCAGTACTTGCATTACCCTCAACATGAAACAGCTTTACTGGTTGCTAGTTACCTTCTGAATTCAATTCAAACTGCTCATAGTATAGTAAACCTTATACATTTATGCCTAAGCTACCTATAGCACCATGTACTCCATACAGCCCAGCCCATCTCATGCATCAATAAGGCACCTTGTACAGGCCCTTGTTAACATTAATGTCCAGTTTAGCTTTCTCCATGGCAAAGCCCATCGTCATGGAACAAACTGCTATTGAAGTTCAAGCGAGCCACTTTCTTACTGCAGTTTAGAAGGGTCCCAAAAATAGACTTATTGTCTCAGGCCTATCTTTTGTATATTGACATTTTTACTGTATTTTGTAAGCCACCCAGAATAATTAAGGAAGTCAGTTCTAGCTACCTCTACCTGCAAAAAAGTAGGCTGTTGAATAATATGGCCCAAGTTCTTAAGTTGTTCAGTTTATAACAAGCAATATAACATACTAGAGCATATGCCGGTAAGAGGTTGAATACTCTTATGACCCATTTTTGGAAAGAAAGAAAAAAACCCTATAAAAGTCAGATCTCTTCCCCTTTAGCCCTGTTTCCCCGATTCATAAAACTTTAAATTATTTCATCCAATTGTGACCACAATTTCCTTTCTTCTGTATGGGAAGACAGAGCTATTCTATCTTCTTTTTAAAAGCAGCAACTAATTCTCTCTGCTAAGGACACATATCCTTCATATCAGAATTATTTCAGACTGAGCAAGGTGCCAGAAATAAAATGTAGATCTTTACTGCATAAGAAAACCCTAAAGGAAAATCACACATAGCAGAGACAAAATTGTATCCCCCTGGTGAACCATTTCAGAGTTAAACATGTCAAGGGATTTGTAGGTACAGTGTTTTTTATCAGGTAGACAATTCATAAACAACATATAGTGTAATCCCAAATAATGCATTTGGGCCACATATTTCGGTACATATTAATTTTCCAGAAACATTCTTTCAAATGATAACAAATGAATGAGGTTAGCCTAGAATACTTTATTTCTTTAGATTCTGACTAGTCTCAAGCAGATCTGTGATCTTTATTAATTATGTTAACTTGGTTCAAGAGCCTTAAGAGTGCATTTGGATTGTATGGAAAGAGATTTCTTGCATGTAGCCTAGAAATTGACTTTTGCAATTGTTGGAAACATACAGTTGCTTTCTGAAAAATTTCATCTGTTAATTCAAATTTATTTGGGGGTATCTTGCAGCAAGAGGATGATGAGATATTCAAATCTTGTTGGATTAAAGGTAACACATTTTGCTTGGAGGTTTCTGCATTATCATCATTAAGAACTGCTTCACTTTTACATGTTTGATTATTTAAAGTTACTTGTTCTATCTCGGTCAAACATTCTTCTCTTACGCATTCTACCTCAGAATCTTCTGAGCTATCATAATCAACCAGCTTCTGAAAAGGTGGGTTATTAGATGCTGTTAAAAAATCAGACCTGTTGGGTTGTATAGCTTGACTGTCTCTCGGCCAGAGTGTAGACAAATTCAGCGAAGAGGTCAAGAGGGCCTCAGTACAAGTCTGTGTATCATATGAAGTGCTCTGCATAGTGAGATCTGACTTGCAGACATCTTTTTGCTGGCAGGACAAGCTCTCCCCCCAAATTCTGAGATCTTTGCCAACTGTGAATTTAAAGCACTTGGAAACTTTGACAAATTGGTGCCAGTCTTCTACAAGAAGCTTTAAATATTGTACGAAGTATTCCAAGAAGCAGGTTTCAGATGAAATCAGGAAATCCAGAAGAACCGTGGCATCAAATGCAATACTCCTTAACAGAAATAAAAAGATACAGTGGGGATTACAGCCATTCTGATGTGTCCAAGTGTCTTGGGTTCCCTCATCTAAATGGCACAAGGTAAAATTAACATCATGCCACAACCTGAAAAATAGCAAGAGCACAGAAGATTAAATTATGACTTCTAAACCAGGCATCATTTTATCAAGAGTTCTAACAACAGAGCTTAAATAGATGTATTGTTTTTGGACAAATCAATCAGATTATTAGAATCATTATGATCATTGCGTTCAAGCATTCTCTCCCGCTGTGTGCTCTAATTCAATGCACATTCAGAGAATAAAGGGGGGCAGATTCTGGACCTCATGGGGTCATACACAAATGAACGAAGAGAGCACACTTGTTCTTACCCTAATCAACCATAATTTGACATTAACCTCTGAAAGGAGATGGCAAAGAAAGGCACCAGTAATTAGAAGATCCTGATTACTTTGCGGTCTTCATGTGGACACAAAGTATGGTTTAGACATACTTAAATAAATAGCAAACCATTGAAGCATAATACTTTCTAGTGTATCACTGAAATCATGTAAAGGGAGAGACAGCTTAGTTTAGAGGGACAGCCCATGCTTTATATGAAAAGAAATCCAGGTTCAGTCTCCAGGTAAAAATATTCTTAAGTAGCAGGACTTAGTATGGAATGGTTCTCCATATCCTGCACAAAATAATCCAAACACAAACCAGCTTAAAGTAATTAGGGGCAAGTAAGATGTTTCAGACTGTTGGTATAAACAGAGTCAATGACGGATTATGGGAGTTACCATGATACCTGAAAAGATCTAACTGATCACATATTAAATAAATAATGGAAATCAATAAAACCTGCAAATATTTGCTGGTCCTCAGTGCAAAGCACAGGTTGGGACCTACACCTTAAAAACTCTTGCCATATCTACTGAAAGGGAAATGAATTCACAACAAAGCTGAAGAATTATATCTAAATTTCAGAATACAATTCTCTCTTTTCCATTGAGAGTAATTATGGGCCATGAGATTATTTCACTGATCTATCAATGTTTCTATGGTCCATTTCAAGAAGAGGTACATATTGCTTATCACGTTCATGACTGGAATAATTCTACACATCTTCTTTGTAATGCTCCTCAAGTTCCTCACCTATGGAGGAAAAGAAACTCTAGACAATACCCTATGCTAAATGACATTGTTTATATAGTACAGTATTTGAGAAGAACATGTAAGCTTGCTAGGTTTGTCCTAGGAATTCAAGGAACTGGGAATAATTTTGTCTTAGAAGGAGTGGTATGTGGGAAATAAACTGACAGAGTGACTGTTCAACTTGAACAGTGTTGCCTGAATTGTGTATTCACTGTCCTGATATTTATGATGAACAATCATTTTTAGCAAATACAAGTTGATGACTTATGGGAAAAAGGATACTAACCTTTCCAAGTTTAAATAAATTGCTAATAATGATTTTGCAGCTTCCACCATCTCATCATCTTGCTCTATAAACAGAGAAATCCACATGCAAGGATGTTCAAATGAGCAGATACTGGCAGAAGACCTCAAATGACTTTTTAAGAACGCCAAGAGTACACACATAACGTTCTCCAAATGAACTAAAATGAAGAGAAGAAAATTCACTGGCAACCCAAAATCATATAAATAAATGATACATTTACTTTTGATTAAAAAAATTAAAAATCTAGGGAACAACTATTTTTATCATTACCTGTTCTAACAAAACATTTTAAAAGGAATGCAAAGGAAAAAATTAGTAAAATTTCCATTTTGTAGATTAAGGCACCAGGCTAGAAAGCAGGAGACAGTGAGTTCTAGTCCCGCTTTAGGCATGAAAGCCGGCTGGGTGACCTTGGGCCAGTCCCTCTCTCTCAGCCCAACCCACCTCACAGGGTTGTTGTGGTAGGGAAAATAGAAGGAAGAAGTATTAGGTATATTCACTGCCTTATTTGTAAAAATAAAGGCAGGATTAAAAAAAAAAAAGGTGACCAAGACAGACAATATCTTGCTTGCCAATGCCTTTTAAATCTAAAGCTTTAAAAAAGCTTCTCACTGCCAACAAATCTTGCCACAACAGGTAAGAGAAGCAAGAAAAAATTGCTAAAAACATATCTACTTTGCAGCCTTCTTGTATTCTTCTCCCTCCTGTGTCTCCTGTTCCAGTAACAGTCACTTGAAGAGTTTGGTGTGTGTTTAATCTCAACTAGCTATAGGTAGGATGGCAATAAAAAGTGTAAAGAAAGGTACTTTTACTCAGGAATATTAGTGCCAAGAACATATAATATTACTACAGTCTTTGGAGAAGATAACACCTTTTTATACACTACAGGCACTGACCAAGGACTTAGTGAAGTGCAGCAATGCTGTGTTTGGGCTGGGGGAGGAAAGGATTCACTTTCAAATTCAACATGGCACAAACTTTTCTGCTCATGCAACAAACAGAAGTATTGACGCCTACAGCTTCCATAATTCAGAAAACTGATCCCATATACATATAATTATCCACTCCAGTAAAAGCTCTCCCCTTCAGCTGAGCCCAACCTTTTATTGACTGTATATCAAGACTTCTGGGGGTGGAACTTCTTAATTAAGTTGGAGACACAATCAAACTGAATTTCAAATTGCACACTGCACAGAACATCTGAATTCTCTAGAGAGCCTCTGAATTACAACATCTGTTCATGTTAAACACCATCTTCCCACATCTTGTGTAATGTAAATGCTTTGCCATATACACATATGCCATGATGGAAATATTCTGAAGCAACATTTTACTGGTATGGCAGGCACATTAATGAATAACTGGCATCTTTTCTCAAAAGTAATTTATTTCTCCATTATTTGCAAAACCAAAATTTGCATACATGTTCTACATTCACAGTTCTTTCAGTACGCCTTTATGATTTGAGCCTCAAAATCTATCATATACTGTTAAAAGAAAACACATCTTTAATATTTTCTCATTCATTATTATAGCAATATGCATACTAGTTTTTTCTGAGGTTCCTTAGATTCCAAAGAAGGGCTCTGGGCAGTGAAAGGCAATCAACTTTAAAGCTTTAGTTAATCTAGTAGCTAAAACTTGTAGTTTAAGCTATGGAACAAAAGTTCCTGGATAACTTGGATTACTATGATAAATCTACAGGCACAATCTGTCTGGAAAATTTTTTCTAATACTATGTGTAACTTACAAATAGATACTAAACCCTCTTTAGCACACTGGTAAGAGAAGTAGTTCAACAAATAAAGGAGAGATAAATTGGTGTATATGCAGATTTCACTTAACAGATTTCTCATTAACTCCTCCCACCCAAGAAAGTTTAACCGCCATTCCCCTAAACTGTCCCTTCAGAAAGAAAAAGCATTCAAAACATATGGTGACAGGCTCATTATCTTTCACCTTGTAGGTAGCCTACTCACAAAACACCTTGTTGTGAAACACTTTAAGCCACTGTAGAAAGCAAAATTACCTTGTGGTTCAGCTTTGTAGGCAAAATCCTGGATCTTCATCTCAAACGCTTTAAGCAGAAGCAAGCTTAAGGATCTGAAGGTCACCGGATCAAAGTTACTATTAATATGTACTTGAGGTTCAATTTTGCTACCATCAAAATGGCTGATATTTCCACTGGTAGACAACCTATCTAGCCACCCAGAATTCACAAATTGTAGTACAGTATCAGCCAATGTTAGTCTATCATTGTCAAGGTGAGGGTCTTGGTGAGAGGAAGGAAGCACCTTTATCTTAATTAGGTCTTCACCAGCTTTGTGAAGAATGCATTTTTTAAGCAACATGATTGATTTTTTCTTGATTAAATCATGAACAGGTGAGGTAGTAAGGCAGCAGATACCGTAAGAGTTCAAAAATAATATCCTCTGGCATCCAAGGTTGAGTGGCATTTGAATCCTGGAAGCCACAAGCAGCTCAAAGAGATCAAGAAAGCCGTTCAAGTCATTGGTTGATTTTGCAAATAGTGGAACATCTTGAGGGACAGAGGAATAATAAGAAAGGATGGAGCTATAAAAGCTTTCAAGTACAGTGTCAAGTGGAGTAAGAAGTTTCTTCAGGTCACCTATAACAACAAAAACACCAGCATCAAGCGGTGTTTAAATAGGACAGAAAAGCCTTAATCGAATTATTTTGCAAAATTAGAACTTCTCATTAAAAAAAACTTTAATTTCTTCCATGAAAATTCACAAGACAACCAACATATCCATAATAATAAGAAAATCAGTATTTTCAGGCATAATAACTGTACATTTATCTTCTCTCTATTGGCTACTTGCAACGTAATGCCAATTGAAACAGTACCTTCTTTGCACGTGTCATCATCTTTCAAAATTTCTTTTATTATATTTGTCAAAGTCCAGAGGCATTCCGCTATCCAACTGTTACTGGGAAATCCTGATAAAGTCTCTAAACAAAAAGCAAGCCAGGCACTATTTAATGAATTCTGGGAAGAGAGAGAGAGTGCACATTACTCTGGGTTACACTGAACAAATTATGACTTCTTGGACAACATGCACCTGTCTGAAGGATACCCTCTAACCCTTCTCCCAAAATTAAGGCAAGGGAGAAAGATGAAAAGGTAACTATTCCAATAGTGTTTTTGGCACTGGACAGGATGGGTTTCCTCATCACTTTGCTCTCTTAGAAAGTGACTATCCAGCAAAACCAGTATCAGAAAGTGAGGACTATATATTTTATTACACAATTCTTAGAGCTCTATCACTCAAAATGTTGTTTTAGCAATCATAAAAGCAGAAGAGCAGATAATTTAGGCCTCCCTACCTAATTAGGATAAAATAAGTTGCATACTGAACTAGTTCAGATTGAAGATGAGAATCTAGGAAGCCTCAAAGGGCGCCAAACAGTATGTTAAATAGGAAAAGTCTAGAATGATTCTACTAGAAACTGATAGCACAGTTAGGTTCACATATCACACTAAGCTGTAAGATTGTTCTTTGGTGTAATATGGTAGCCACTGTTATTTGGAAACTACAGTTTATCACATTGGTGCAAATCCAACCAATGGTGGTTTATTCAAAATAGCACTGTTAGCATGATGGGTGAACTCAATCTATCAGAGAGAAAAGCTGGAAACCAGCATTCCCTCCAATGTGCCTATTTTTTATATTCAGGAAATATGAGTAGTATTTGATTGTATTAATCTCAGTTGCACAGTGCACAAACACAGGTTTTTCTCTTATGCCTTTAGCAAGCTTAGAAGACATTTAAGTAATAGTATATTCCCTAAGTACTACAATGGAAATGCTACACTGCCAATGCCTTCTCACACTGAAGCATCATTGAAGAACGATCAGGGTTCTACTTCATCTGACATCTGAGAATACAAATTGTCCCACTTTGTCCTTGATCTTTGGTTAATTCCAAACTTTCATATTATATAGTGCAGGGTTTAAAGTTTAATGTCAAAGAATTTTTCCACCTACCCATTCTATCGATCTCTTCTTTAAAGCTGAACAGAACTCCCATAGCACTTTGTTCACCTCAATCAAATGAACTGAATATTCATTCCAAATGTTAAAAATTCCCACATTTTCATACTACTATAAATATCTTCATGGCAATTCTTGACTACTGAAAGACAGGGAGATAGTTCTGTCCTAAAAGGAAGTACACTGGGTGGAAGAGGACATGGATTTGGATGGGACATTACCATTACATGAGATCAGTCAAATTCAGGCTAAAAATCTCAACTCTGGAAAATAGATGATAGGTTATTGCAAACAGTAGCTCCCATACATACACTAGATCTGCAGGAAATCCTGCATGCGATTTAAACAGCAGACTATCCGAAATGCATTTTCTCTTATCCTATGAAGCCCTCTGTCTGATTATTTTAGTACTGCACTATGGCACCAGTTATCAAGAGGAAGCTAATGAGATACAGTGGACATGAAGTTTCTCCCTGCAGCTCACTCTCTGGAGGCAGCCTTGGACATGCAAATGATGTTGCATGTGGAAAAGAATCTGCATCAAAATGAAGAATATACAGAGTGTCTATACTGAACAACACTGTCAGCACAAATTATCTATTTTCTTGGTATAGAAAAGCAGGAAGACAAAACAAAATGTCTTCCTATCAATTGTCTTCCTATCTAGAATTTTTTTCATATGTTTAATGGAATATGTACAGAGCATTCAATCATATCTTTTAAACCAACTATATGCCATAAATAAACATTATATGCAGGGACACAGACTAATAAACATTTGTGCATGCATGTGAGATAGTAACACCCAAAATCATTTGTGGGGATGGGCTACAGAATTTTGAGATGAGCTACAAAAGTCCTAACAATAGTGGCAATATTATCAATTGAACTATGTTTGCACTTCTTTTTATTTTTACCAAGCAATCAACATTTCTTAACTGTGTCATTCCAGAGGCTCTAGCCAGTGTACATGCTAATCTCTGTACAGCTAACACTTGTAAACACACTTTGATAAACACAAACATGGCATCAAAAGACCACAGTGCAAAAGCAGCACCAGTATGAAGAAGCAATCATGAATTAAAAATGAACAGAAAGATAACTAAATGATCAAGTACATGCAAAGTATACTGAAAAAGCCCCTCCACCTCATGTTTTAAAAACTCAGATGTTTTCCTGGCTGTTTTTGGAATAAATGTTTTATTCTCCTACAAAAACAAGAAAACATGGTCTTGAAAGATCATACTAAGTAGGAAAAGACAGAGAAATAATTCATTCATTTTTAAGAGCGGTTGGCTAAAAAAAAAACCCTGGCCTGTTACTCCATTAAAAAAAAAACCTTAGTGATAGATAGATCTATCATTAGAAAAACCTAGCTATATATATCTGTAAAAAAGTACGGAAGAGACATTTCCTTCAGTGTAAAATAGGAAGAACGTCTCTTTAAAGAACATGTACCTGCCATTTATGGATTTATAGTATTTACATTAAAATTACATTCATAGTATTTACATTAAAAAAATCTGGTCATCCTTTCTACTAAGTGCAACATTTGTGCCTAAAGTACATGGTACAATAAGGAAGACAGAAACATCTGCCTAGCCAGCCAAATAAGTAATAGCAACCTAATGATCAATGGGATAACAGATGGTACCACCAGGTATAATCTTACCTCTTCTTCCACTAGGAGAACAAAACAGGATGAATTGAGAGTGCATGAGATGTACACATAATTAGAATTTCTGCTGGGTGGGGATTTATAACATTAAAAATCATCAACTTAAGTTGTGTATTATGTGTTCATTGTACAAAACCCTGAATTAATTGTCAGTGTTGAAAACTGTATTACATTTGTACTTGAAATGAAAAACACACACATACACACACCAAGCAGATAAATTCACTCCAATAGTAAGAACTCCAAAGCTGTTTCTGACTTACATCTTTTGTTAGCTGAAAATGCACAAGGGAGACCAAACTTTTGGAAGCCACATGAGAGAGCTGTTTCTCTGAACTACGTAACAGATAAATCTACAAGAAATGGAAACAGAAGAAAATTGTAGCTACGAGATACCTTTACAAAGCTTTGAGAAAAACATAATCTTTTGAAAACTTACTAATTCAGAGACAATGTTCGCTTCTTCCAGGATTCTCAGGATCTCAAGGTATTTCTGTTTTATTCCAGTAGCCACCTCTTGCAGTTGCAGTTTGGCAAGCATCATCTTGATCAAGGTTAACTGAAGCAGCATAATTTCGTGTGCATGGCATTTCAGATGGCTAAAGTTTTTAGAAACTTCCTGTGAGTCATTTATTGGGTCTAGACCAGAAGAGATCTGAGCATCCAACTCAGCAGAAAAATTACATGCAGATAATTCATGATTTTTTGCTGATGAAAAAACCGAAGGATTTAGAAGAGTTGCACAACTGTAACTATCTTTGGCTAGCAGGGCATCAGCAAGTATATCATTATACATCTTTTGGAGGAAGTGAAAGTAAGTCCCCATTGTCAGCAATTATTATATATCTGGAAATTCTTTATATATTCAGATCAGCAGGATTTGAATTGGTTTTTCAGGAACTGACACTTTCCAATACAAGATGTAACTTTGTAAAGATTCCTATTCCATTGTACCTAAAAAAAAAGAAAGATTACAAGAATGTGAGGTCAGTAACATGATTCTTAATGAAAAGTCAAAACAATTCAAGTTATGTTACCTGACTAGAAATTTTTCAGCACAAAGTACTATTCTACACATGCCTACTAATTACTATTTCATTAGATTTATATTCCACCATTTCTTTAGTCAAAGTAGCTTAGATGGAGGTCTTTGTTTTATCCTCACAACAGCAACCCTCTGAAATAGAGTGGGCTGAGTAAATGACTACCCCAAAATTACTTGGAGAACTTCCTTGGCTGAGTGTAGGCCAGAACCTGGCTTTCCCTAGTTCCAGGGAAACAACTTAATCGCTGCAGCATATTGTTATACTAAGAAACAGTAAACTCTGTCAGATGCATTTGGAATTCTCTACAGGAATTTTTCTCTGTCACATGTGCTCATCCTAAACCTGCTCAAGACCCCCAAATAATTGTCCTAATGCCATCCTTTAAATATCCCCCATTTGAAGTCTATTCCTCTGCCTCTTTGCCTGGTTTTTTTTTTGCATTTCCCTATTTTTGAAACCTTATATACTTGTACTGCGGAGACGTAGTCTGAAGGGAACAAACTACTAATTCAAGTGGTATCTCAGAGCAGCTCACACAGTATTCGTCGGTCCCCAGTGTAATATTCACAATTTGCAAGGAGAAAATTAGCAAAGTCTGCCTTGGCTGATCTCAATAAAAGCTAAACAAGTTGGACCCGATTTGTACTTCGACCAGAGATTATCAGAAAATTCTAAGACTTTAATTTAGGCTAGGAAGTTAAATAACATTCTAGAAGAAGGCAATGATAAACTGCTTCTGTGTTGTTAGTAGGCAAACTGCATGGAGGCACCAATGTAATTACTAGGAGTTCAATTTTAGTCTTTTTCTTGGCCCCAGCAGATGGCAGTTTGGTGTAGTGGTGAAAGCATCAGGCTAGAAACCGGGAGTTCATGAGTTCTAGACCCATCTTGGGCATGAAGCCAGCTGGGGGACCTTGGGCTGGTCCCTCTCTCTCGGCCCTGGGAAGAAGGCGGCAAGGGCAAAACACTTCTGAAAATGCTGCCTAGAAAACTGCAGGGACTTGATGTACTGACAGCCAGTTTGGTCTAGTGGTGAAGGTGCTGGACTAGAAACTGGGAGATCCTGAGTTCTAGTCCTGCCTTAGGCACAAAGCCAGCTGGGTGACTTCAGGCCAGTCCCTCTCTCTCAGCCCTAGGAAGCAGGCAATGGCAAGCCACTTCTGAAATCTTGCCACGAAAACGGCAGGGACTTGTCCAGGCAGTCGCCAGGAGTCGACGGTGACTGGAAGCCCCCCCCCCCCCCCCC